TGCAAGGCTTCTCGTTGTGCTTTTTTGATAACGCTGTAAGTTTATATATCATTTAAGACTGCCTTTGTGGTTTTCGGATAATTTTGAGCAGCACAAACTAACTGCCTACCGAATCACATATTTTTTTGACAGGCACCAAGAACGAACAATCAATTACGATCCCATTGATGAGGTTGTAACCGACTGCCGTTCGATAAAGTACGGGTTATTTTAGCGTGTTCTTTCAATACGTGGTTATGCAGCAGTCTAAATCGGTTATACAACGTTATACTCCGTTTAGGTAGGTAGATGGGCGCTCATCGATCGATTAAGGAACTCGCTTGTCCCGTCAAGACTTGAGACTCACATCCGCAAAACGGTTAAGTATATGACGAATTGAGGCAAATATTCGCATCCCAGGTACGTGTGTAGATAGAGAAGTAGAAGGCGTTGCGATCACCGGCATCGTAAATTTACTTGTCTGAGCTTTCGGGCTCCTTCTAGAGTCCTTCGTCAGGGATAAAAGGCGTACACGAAAAACAAGCAACAGTTATAGGACGCAGGGACCAATCAACCGTTATGGGGGAGGGGGAAGGAGGACAGTCAGATGATAGTGCCATAATTCCGGAGATGCCTACGCAGCGCGATGTATGCCGGCGCCAGATTGATACATCGATTGACTGAGTTCTCATCCGAGGCCCAGGCTTCGATCAATTCGCGGCCTGTTTTGTTGCCAGCGTGCAAAGACAAGTATGTTGTAACACGTGGTTGGCTGATGATAGCTAAAAATCCTAAAACGGTCATTCCAATCTCCTTTGTCTTGGTCGATAATGTAATACTACCGAAAGTTCTGTTACTCATCCGGTTGAAATCAAATGTGTATTTAGATAAAGCCGGTTATGTTGTCCTCGAAGACCTTTTTATCTCTATGCTGGATGCCTTGCGACTTCACGGTCCGTTCCATATGTTCCATATAATTATGTTGCAGCTCCTGTCGGGACACAAGGATTTAAGAGCGAAGGCAACTCTAATTACAACGTACATTTCTCCGGTCTGTGTTCGTTGAAAAAGATAAGAACACCAAGCATTTATTTCAATCTGATGCTTCGGACAGAAGGAAGCAGATGATTTGGTTTGGTGCAATGAAACAGATCGTTCGTCAGTCTCGAAGGCAGTATTTACATCCAAATATTGTTTTTTGCGTACGGGATAACAATTTATGTAATGTTAATACACGGCACGTAATGTGGCTCCCCAGGAAAAAAACATTCCCAGGATGGAACACTACCATGTAGATTACTAGTGAGACCCCAAATTCATTATTTGCGACTTGCTATAAAATAAAACGAATTTCGTTGGTTTTAACTATTATTTCTTCTGCACTTGTTACGTTAGCAGTTTCTGCCAACCACATAAGCCTAAATCCTAAAACTTCCGTATCCGCGAAGGTGGATCGCCATTTATATCGTTAATTTTTTCAGAAGGAGCGAATCCTTCGATATAAAACTTGTGGAGTCGACCCGAAGTCTGATACGAGAAGTTGGGATGAAATCTATCAGTTTCAGTGAAATAACTGCGTCATTTTCATAAAATGCCAACATGCAGTTAGTAGAATGTAAATTCTGCAGAAAATCCCTCAATGATAAGCAATTTTGTCATGCAGTTGCAGAAAATCGAAAAAAATTTGTGTCTAGAATGTCAGTGGGAAGAACCGAACAAAATATACATCATTAGAAAAGTAACTAAATATCCAGACGTCTGTATCCTCGATATTCTATTACTGTCAAGGATTTGGCTCACTTGTGGGCCCTCAGCTTTTCCTACGAGCTTTCCAGTCCATCATCCAACTCTTATAATCATCGTCAGATTTTGACTTCATTGTCGTAACTGATGTTAAAAACAAACATATGTTGTTGCAAATGCGATTTAAAGCAACCAGATTCGTAATTGGTACGATTACTATAACGTGACAAGATATATTGAACACAACCGCACACTCACAAACTATAATAAAAGTAGTGGACTGTTTTTTTTATTAAATTTTGAAAAGCACCTTGGTTCTTGGATCTTAAACTTTCAGCTTTCTGATATATTGCTTTGTCTAGAACTGCAAAACCAGCGTCTTGAAAGAATGAAATATGCTTTTGATGAAGAACTTCACATGATTAAACGGGAGTTCGACGCAGGTATGATTTTCAGTTAACCTCAGCTCTACATTCAAAACAGAAAAGGAATTCATGTCAACCAAACATGAAAACCAAATTAACGATTTAAAGGATATTTATGTCGCATTTGACAAACACTTTCTGCAAAAAGAAACCGAGGCAAGAAACGAATATGGAAGCACAAGAGATGAAATGAAAAATAAGGTGAGGTGACGCTTACTCATCCGCTGGTGTCTTCAAGGTGAAATGTTAAATCAGGAAACAGGCAAAATGGGTTAACCCAGCTTCTGCTTGCTTTCTGTGCATAATTTTGGATGCTCAATATTATTAACGTTATTTCTAATCTCCATATGCAACCAGAAATAAAAATTTTCCCGAGGATTCTCCATTACATTAAAGCTACTAATTACGACATATCTGAGAGCACTAATTCGCTTCAAATTCTACCCTTCGACTCAAAAAATTGTCCTCTTATTTATCAGTAATTTGCACTCTTTTCAAACAGAAATTTCTAGAATACCAAAATAAGGTCGCGAAAATTAAAAAAATATAGCAATTAAATTTACAAGGACAAGAAGAACTGGAATGTCCTCTTCTAGCCAATTTGCGCAATGCACTCCCGATTTTTCGCTCGCTTGTATAGGCGTTACATGTAATTGAGTAAGGAAAACAAATGAATACGGTATATACGGCCTCTGGAATGTTACCTAACGGTTTCAATGAAAGATTTGAAACCGTGGGAATACAGCGCAGATAAAGGCTAAAGGAAAAACCTCCGATACAGCCCTGTAACAACCTACAGTTCTTGGGTATCCCAAAACAAGTCGTTTGTACAGTAGTGGCGATCTGTAGACAGTGCAGTAGCTGTCAAATTCCCAGACTGCTACTTTAATAACTGAAACGAGTAGGCTGTACTTGATACAGTGAACTTTGTCGCAGTTTGAAGAAATACTTAGGCTTGGCTCATAGTTGCATGTGGAACGAAGTTTCGTGTACCCAGCACCAAAAATTCCTCTCAATTGCTATTTTAGTTTTTGCCTACTTCCTTTAACTTTTGAGATAAATCAAGCGAGACGCTCCAAAAACGCGTATTTGGGTCTAATTATCTGGTCGTTAAAGTCAGTGATGTCGGATAGGTTAGCGCTCCCTGATCGGCGAAGTAACGGGTGTCTGCTAGACGGGCGCTCACGGACCGCACATACTCGCTCCGTTGGGCCTCGAGTCTCACTCTCGAGCCCCACCGGCAGCTCCACAGCAGCTAGGGATATAGGCGGAATGACCTTATCGAAAAAGGCAAGAGCGATTGGTATGACAATTTCTGGTTTGACACTCGTTCAAGAATATTCACCGACCGCTAAGGGCACTCATTTGTTCCGCTCTGACTTGGGTCTCATTTCTCGGGCCCTGACAGC